GGTTTGTTACTTTTAAGTAAAAATGCTGTGTATTTTGTTGATATTACTTTCTTTAATACGTCATACTATCATTAGTTGGAAGATACCAATTGCAGTAAGATGCGTCAACATGTTAACACGTTACTTGACTGTTTTACCACCCCCTGACCTTCCTCATTAAACAGTAGTTATCTTTTATTAGCATTCAGTAGCCTTTCAAATGATAAGCTAATTGATACTCATACAAAGTTTGCTCGGAAGTGGGGATCCCTAAATCTTGTGCGTACAAGTGACATGTGGCGCTGACTCATTGATATTTGAAGCACCGCATACAATTAAAGCTATAACAAGTCTTTTCTCACTTTCTTTGCTTAGACATCCGTAGACGCATATGTTCTACAAAGCTTCTGAAGGCTCTACTGTTCTGGTTTACAGAATTCTCAACAGAGGTTCTACTCTTCTTTTCGGGCCGGCCGGTTTCAAATGTAAATGGGTGGCTCAGATACATATGCAATGAACTTTTGATAACAGGTGAGATTCTAGTCTGCGATACCTACGTGTAGATACGATGATCGAAATTGTTATGCGATGCCAGGGTGATTGTGATGCCCCATGAGGGCGCTAGGGACCAGAAGATCTGCTGTCCGGCCTCCATCCAAACCTGGCCAGTTGCTAGGCGAGACCAATCAATGGATAGGTAGTAATCACGAATGGCCTCCTGTCCGCCTGGTAGAAGGAGACTGCGCACCAGCAGGATGGTTAGAAAGAGATAGGGAATGCTTGCCGTGAAGTAAACTACCTGAGGTGACCAGAATTGAAGTAAGGGATAGGGAGGAGAGAAAAGTGTGATTACATAAAGAAGAAGAGTGGAATGTAGAAATAGTTGGAGTGAGGGTATTAAGCTAAGTCATATACGAGGGAAGCATAAAGCAAATAAAGATAGGGTCGAGGCAAAAATTCACGAAAGAGCACCAGAAATAATCACTTTTAAACCTTTATCCAACAAAAGTTTTAAAAAGAAAACAGGATTATCACTTCATCTTGCCGGTTTTATAAGTAAAACAAACACCGGCATTCCCAAATTGATCCATTCCATTTGCTAGAGAAATGAGCTCGAGCAATTTATTTTGTTATTTATTTTTGTTACATAATACTTCCAACAGTTGAAAATCCCTTAATTGTCAACCTATTCAATGGAATCTTAACGGTCGACCCGAAAAAAATTAACTATGGTGTTTTGCAGAAAATGTTTGTCTTCGAAAATTCAATATTTTCCAGGTTTAATAATTAAATTTTTCTGCAACTGCTCCCGAACATGGCCTGATTCGGAAAATTGAAGCTGCCATACAAATGTCTCTGTAAATAAATGCCCGTCAGTCAATGGAAGTTAATTTTCAGGTATTAACCGTCTAACATTGCGCACGAAGCCCCATGCTCGAAACAAAGAGGAAACAAGCTTTACCAAAATATTTTGACTCAGATGCTTTACAAAGTTAAGTAGTCGAAAGAATAAAATAGTATTGTTAGGGGGACTTTCAGTTCGCATGAAAACCAGCTTCTCGTCATATCTAAAACAAAATAGTAGATACGAATAGAAACTTGGTTTCGATGAATCTCCTGAGATAACATTATTAAGGGAACATTCATTTCGTATGAAACTGCATGAAGAATAGATTCGTTGGTCGATCTCACCAGATGAGGACGGATAGATCTCGTTAAACTTCAGCCGTTTGGATTTTATACAATATTCATGTTGACGCAGTCCACGAGACTTCCTCCCTCGTTTCGGATTAAAACGGGTCAACGTTTGACTTTTATAAGAATGACACCCAGCTCATGATGATATCCATCCAATGATGGACGAAAGCTTAGCACGTTTTCACCCGAAACAAGGGAGGAAGTGTCGTGGACTGCGTCAACTTGAATATCGTATACAAACCAAGCGGCTGCAGTACAACGAGGTTCATCCATCCTCATCTGGTGATATCGACCAACGAATGTTATTTGAGCTTACTTCCACTTCGAGTGAAATTTTTGGGTGAAGAAGACGACGGCAGATTCTTCTTGAACAGCTGTTGATTGGATTTACTAAAACAGTTATGGGAAGCTGTTTTTAAGGCAATATCCTTCGATTCCGGTGAAAAGGTGCTGAGCGTTCGTCCGTCATATGACGGACATCATCAGAGCGAGGTGACATCGTCACAACAAAATTCAAGCTAACGAGTCTCGAATCTCTTTACCCACCACTTTCACTCGAAATGAAAGTAAGCTCAACAATTATGAAACAAGAAATTCCTCTAAACCCAACTTTTATTCTCATATACAACGAATC